GGGGCAGTGAACGTATGCGGGTTCATTTTGCACCTGGTATTCTGATTAACAGTGAGGTCAATCTCCTCTTCCCAAGCATGAACACCTGCTTCTAGCACTGCTCATATCCTAGCCCTTCACAAGGATTTCTCCTTCAGTAATCCCAGAAAATGCATAGGCATCCCATGTCTCTGTCAGAACTATCCCCAAGAGACTTTCACATCAGGGAGGATTGATTTCAGCTCTCCCATTTCTGAGAGCTCACAGACATTTCTTCAGCTGACAACCACCAGCTGTGTCATCACCTTCCAGTGCTGACTCCTTTGAAAAGGAAAACACAAATTCTTGTTGTCCTTGACTCCAGCACCTTCCTCTGTTTTGCCTTTGACTCTTCCTTAGAAGTTGGGCAACAGTTGCTGCTCTTTCCTGTTCCTTTTCCTGCTATTACAAGATGTCTGGATCCATTTTTCGATCTTCCACAAATGACATCTGAGCAAAGATGACCTAGTTGTAGTCCACATTTCTACATCTCATGGATCAGTAGTATAACAGCACAGCCTTTGTTTCCTTAATGAAGCAGGCTGTGCAACAATCCCTTACGACATTTTTACCATCTTTTTCCTGATTTCTGTGGGAACTCCTATGCCCTTGATGAGTTTTTCTGGAAGTAGCCTTGTAAATATTGTCAAACTGTGTGTGCAAAGAAAGCAAGCAGAATGAGCACAGCCAAGGATGCTCTGGCAGGGGATCCAGGACCCGGAGCCTGCAGGGGATCCAGGACCTGGAGCCTGCAGGGGATCCAAGCTCCGGAGCCTGCAGGGGATCCAAGCTCCAGAGCCTGCAGGGGATCCAGGACCCGGAGCCTGCAGGGGACCCAGGACCTGGAGCCTGCAGGGGATCCAGGACCCGGAGCCTGCAGGGGATCCAGGACCCGGAGCCTGCCAGGGATCCAAGCTCCAGAGCCTGCAGGGGATCCAAGACCTGGAGCCTGCAGGGGATCCAGGACCCGGAGCCTGCAGGGGATCCAGGACCCGGAGCCTGCCGGGGACCCAGGACCTGGAGCCTGCAGGGGATCCAAGACCTGGAGCCTGCAGGGGATCCAGGACCCGGAGCCTGCAGGGGATCCAGGACCCGGAGCCTGCAGGGGATCCAGGACCCGGAGCCTGCAGGGGATCCAGGACCCGGAGCCTGCCAGGGATCCAGGACCCGGAGCCTGCAGGGGATCCAAGACCTGGAGCCTGCAGGGGATCCAGGACCCGGAGCCTGCAGGGGATCCAAGACCTGGAGCCTGCCAGGGATCCAGGACCCGGAGCCTGCAGGGGATCCAGGACCTGGAGCCTGCAGCCGGATCCCCGCACAGCCGCCCCAGGCCCCGGAGCTGCTGGCCCGGGCTGGCTGCAGGACCGTGTCCGTGCTCATCTCTCGGGCGCCAAGGGCAGCGAGTGGAGCTAGAAGGGTTCAGGCACAAGGTAAGGGTGAGTGCAGTCAAGAAAGCCAGAGCCCAGGGAGGAGGAGTGAGGAAGAATACCACAGAGCAACAGAAAAAAATAATACCACAACAAAAGAGAAGACAGTAAAAGGGAGTGCAATAATGGGCATGCATTTCTCTTTCTTCTGCCCCATGGCAAGCTGCCAATCTCTTCCACACAAATTCCTCAGTGCTACTAAAACCAGTCCCCATGGACACACCTGCCTTGAGACAAATTCTTTTAGTCTTGAAAAAATCTGGGCACTTCTTCAATAAAGCGCTTTGCTTTTAAACTGCTTTGCCTTTGTGAATTTTGGCAGCAGCTCACACTTGGAGAGCTTTTGAGAACCCTTTCTTTAATCAGATTTCCCTGCCCTGCCCCAGGGGACTGTGGGCGAGTGACTTCCCACAGCTGTCCCTCAGCTTCCAATTCTGTGACGTGTGGCTCACCACTACCTCAAAGGGCTGGGGTGAGGCATCATTTGTGTGTGAAGAGCTGTGAAATAAATCCATGAGGGTGACGGGTGCTGAGCAGTACATGACATGCTGTGAGTGTAGTGTTACCATCAGCTCATCACTCGGGTATGGCAGGAGGTGGGGCAGGCGCTGGAGTGTAGTTAAAAACACTTCACTGCCCAGTGCAAAACTTCATACAGTGAATTAAAGAGGAGGCATTGGAGTCATATCACAGGGCTTATTTCTTCTACACAGTAGGGCCAAGGTTTAAGACCAGAAAATATGAACATGCTTAGGAGTACTAGCTAAATACTCAGAAAAAAAGAAAAACTCAAGCTGAGAATTTTTCTGTTTGTTCTCATGCAGGCTATCTCCTGAGCCACTTCATGCTGGAGGTGTTTAGGGTTGGGAAAAATCCTGTATTTGCACTGACAATAGTCTCCCTTCTTTTCCTGTTCTGACCAAAATTGGACTAGGCTGTCCAAAAGCATAAAAAAGAATCCAAATTATTTGCAGTATGGTGCAGTAGAAAAGAGCATCACTATAATTCTGTGGATACACAGCTAAAGTAATGGGCATTATAATTTCTGCCCATTTCTGCCCATTCTGATTTTCTTCTGAGTGAAGTTTCTAGTATCATAACCTGCTCCTTCTTTCCTATTTTCTCTCTTCCCCCCCACCGCTATAATTTCTAAATAAGCCCTTATCACATTTGCTCTGAGAAAGAGGTAAAATATTTCTCTTTATGAGCCAAGTTGCCTATGTTGGCTTAGATCTGGTTTTAACACCATAGCTGGAAAACATATGCTAAGTTTACTTCCTCTTTTTTTGGCAATTTACACCCTCTCCCCCCTAAACAATCCATTACCAAGACAAGTTTTGAAAAAGTAGGGTCTGAAGGTATGGATGCCGTAATGAGCCATGCAGAGTCTAATTCTGGCTTGAGTCCAAATTTAATTGAAGTCTTGAGCAAGTCAATAATTTTTTCTCATCAAGTCTTCCCTCACCAAAAGAGGGAATAGTTACTTGCCTTGTAGAGATGTTGTAAAGACTAAGAAAGTCATTAAATAATATATTTTAGACACAAAAAATCTCATAAGAATTATGTAGAAACCTCACTTAGGATTTATAAAAAGGCTATTTAAAACCACAGTGGGATAAAAAGTATCAACATTGAAATTAATTAATGAAATAACCATGGTAAAAACTGCTCAGATGTGAAGAATGGAACATGAATCTGCAGTTGTCTGGCAGAGTATATTCTACTTGGAAAAGGAACAGCTCTTTATTCACTATGGTGGAACAAAGTAATTGCAGATACATGAGGAAATTCTTGTAGCCTGTGATACTCCTTGATAATGCCTTCCACTATTATTGGTCTTTATTTTTCATGATCTTAGAACACTTTGGGCCTTTAGCTGGGACCTGTCCTGGTGTGGTTGGTACCACAGAGACAGAAGATAATGAAGGGCACAGCCCCAAAGAGCCTTTGGTCAGAGATCCCAAATGTCCAGTACATCGCACTCAAAGGTGATGTACCATTGCTCTGATTTTACACACATGGTCAGATTTCCCTCTTTCCCCCTGTTTCATACGAAGCAGAACAAGGCTGCTTATCTCAGTGTCTGATTCCCCCCTCAGTGGGGGCCTCGCTGTGTTTGCTTGGTGACATACCAGTGTAGTGCAGGTCAGGTGCTGTGCTTGGAGCTATGGATGTGTTAATTGATTATGTATCAGTAACACTGCACAAGCTGAACTGGGGCCTTCCTCCTCCTTCCTCAGGTAATCCTGCTCCATGAGTGAGGAGGCACCAGCTGCTGCTAACCACAAATGTCTAGTTGCATACAATGATCTTTGTAGATGTGAAATAAATGTGCTCTCTGCCCTAGCAAGCTCCCCCTGTGAGTAGTAGGTACTAACTTGCCAGTTTACTTAGAGCTGATCTCCACCAACCACATCCATCCATCCAAGGTACTAAACTGAGTGTGGTCTCTGTGGAAACTTGTTTTGTCAGCTTCATGGTCTGTTTAGTTTGTACAGCACTTTCATTCCTAAAAGGTGTCAGAGATACCTGGAATCTCTGGGGACAGGAAAAAACCCAGGTATTTTGCCAGTTCTGTTCTACTTTAGGCCACTTGCAGAAGTGAGGAGCATTTCCATTGGTATCCCAGCCAAATGTCACTCTTTTAAAGCAGGTGCTGGCTTCTTTCACCAGCACATGGCTGAACACAGAAGTCCTTGTGGGAAAACCTTCCCCCTTTCTGAAAGAACCCTCTTCTGTTAGGAAAAATGAGGAGATGAGAGAAGGCTGCCTGACTAAAAAATGCCTTTAAAAGTCAAATAATCTTTAAACCTTAAGACAAACAAACATACAAACAGTGGATGAAAGTATATCAGGATAAAGTGCAAAGATGTGATTTCTGTACAATTTGTGAAGACACGTGAGAGCAGAGACCTGAGCAGGCTGGGCATGCACAGCCTGGCCAGAGCAGACAGAAATACAGTGGGTGATGCAAGGGCAACCCTGAGAGGCAGAGCATGATGCAGCACAGGCACAGCAAGCAGTGTTAGTGCTGTTAACAGACACCTCTGATGGCAATGGGACTGGCACCAGCTGAGACACTACATAAAATCAGTAGCACCAAGTGCTGGCTTCACTCATGCTGCTTCACACCTCTGGTGGGCTTTGTGCCATTCTGGTTTAAGCTGGCTGTAGTGATCATTGCTTCTATGATGTTTTTGGATTTGTAGAGTTATGATGTCAGGGAATTGTAGAGTTCCCCTGTAGAAAGCAGAGGAGAATGAAAACCCACAGAGCTCCAAGATGGAACGAGCAGAAATAAATTCAATGCAGTAGAGGTCCATTTTCTGAAGACATTAAACAGCTTTAAGACTACACTAGTAAATGAACACACCCTTTTTATCACTGAGGCAACCAAAGTGGGGAGAGTGGAAACAGGCTGTTATAGGTAAAGCCAAATGAGATGTTGCCTAGTAACTCTCAGCAGGGAAGCATTTAAACCCAGCCAGTTTAGTGAAGCTGATGTTCTGAGTCAGAGATTATTTTCTCTGGAAAAAATTCTGAAGGAAGGAAAGCTCAATTTAACAGTCATATTTATTTTGCTGTTAGGGCAAACTGTAATGACAATGCTTGGGAGAATGCAGAAGTATTTACAAACTTGTACAAGCAAGAACAGACAAAGCATCAAAAGCAACAAGCGTGGGTTTTAATTCTGATTTATTTCCCCCAAATACAGTAAATTCCATATTAATTTTTATTTTTGGATTCTGAAATACACAAGTGATAACAGATGTCTGAAAATACTACACATATCATTACACTATTATCATACAGTTGCTGTAAGAGAAGTTTCTGGATAAAACCCTATTTCAACTTTGCTATTGGATACAGAATCAAAATAATTGATTTAAAAGAAGAAAGACTTCATGTCTCCACTGGTTCCATTGCCTGAAACAGTTTTAATTAGGTCCTCCTTCAGGACTTTTCTTTTATGGGTTCACAGAAAAGTCACTTGGCTCAGCTAAGGATCTCTAATATCAGGGGGAAAAAAACCCCTCAAACCTTATTTGAAGATTCATATTATTTTTACTTCCCTTTAGAAGGATAGGATGATTTTATAGAAGTATAAGTTTACCATGATCAGTCATGTACATCTGTGTTCCTGAGTGCCACAACTACTGCTCAGAGTAGGCAGTCAGGTTCAGGAGAGCACCTCATTTCAGCAGCCTCAATACAGTTAATGATGAAAGCTGTGAATGTGAACTATTGCACAGATTTTTTTTTTTTTTTTAATTAAAAATAAAATAAGCAGATCAACACACCACACTAACCATGAAAAGACAGACTGCCAAAGAGTGAAAACAAAAATATGTATTTTATCAACAATTATAGCAGCTGGAAAACAAAGCTACTACAGCATAAATACTAAAATTTGAGTTATATATTAAAAGCAGAGAGTTTTTAAGAAGCATGCTGTACGAGCAGAGAAAGAATGTTCTGCAAGCCAGAGAGAGCCACTTCTCACTGACCAGAGCCTGGTTTGAAGTTTAATGAAACACTGTTGATACAGAACCTCTGCCCAGAAGGTGTGGGTCCATCATCAAACACGTGGCCTAGATGGGCGTCACACTGCAACAGAAATTATTACCATTTTATTATTGTGTTGCTACAAAATGACAGAATCATTTAGGCTGGGAAAGACCTCTCATTCATAGAGTCCATCTTTGATCACCACCATGGCACTAATTGCCATGTCCAGTGGTTTCTTGAGCACCTCCAAGGATGGTGACTCCACCACCTCCCTTGGCAGTCCATTCCAATGTTTAACAACCCTTTTCATGAAGAATTTCCTGCTGATGTCCAGCCTGAACCTCCCTGGTACAGCCTGAGGCCATGTCCTCTTGTCCTGTCTCCAGCTGCCTGGAAGAACAGCCCAACCCCACCTGGCTGCACCCTCCTTTCAGGCAGCTGTAGAATGATAAGGTCACTCCTGAGCCTCCTCTTCTCCAGGCTAAACTCCCCCAGCTCCCTCAGCTGGCTCCTCATCAGACTTGTGCTCCAGACCCTTCCCCAGCTCCATTGCCCTTCTCTGCACTCTCTCCAGCACCTCAATGTCCTTCCTGAATTGAGGGGCCCAGAACTGAACCCAGGATTTAAGGTGTGGCCTCAGCAGTCCTGAGTAGAGGGTTATGGTCACTGCCCTGGTGCTGCTGGCCACACTGTTGCTGGTCCAGGCCAGGATGCCATTGGCCCCTTGGCCACCTGGGCACTCTCTGGCTCATGTTCAGCTGCTGCTGACCAGCACCCCCGGGACCTTTTCCTCCAGGCATCTTTGGTGCCACTCTGCCCCAGCCTGTAGCTGCAGGGGCTGTTGTGACCCAGGGGCAGGAGCAGGCCCAGGCACTTGGCCTTGCTGAAGCTCAGAGCTCTGGGCTCTCCCCATCCCTGCAGCCTGTCCAGATCCCCCTGCAGAGCCTTCAGCAGCTCAACACTCCCACCCAGCCCGGTGTGTCTGCAGACTGACTGAGGGTGCCCTGGATCCCCTCACGTGGGTCACTGAGAAAGATTAAACAGAGCTGATGGCAGCCCTGAGCCCTGGGGAACATCACTGATGACCAGAACACATTGCCATTGCATTATTATCATTGGAATTGTGGACTAACATTGTGCTGGTATCTACTGTGCTATCCTGAATTAAGAAACTTCCATGATTAAATCACTGTTGAATTGGGTGAGTGGGAGAGTCCTAGGGATGCCAAGGAATCACATCTTGTCAGTGGGCAAGTATCTGCCCCCAGACAAGCACATCCCAGAAGAAAAAAGATATTATTGCCAGAAAGTATAGGAAATAAACGAGATGATCTAAGCATCTCAATATATCATGAAAACTTCAAGTTAAGAAGTCACTGAAGGTCATTCTCACAGATCAACTGAGGATTCCCCTCTCAAATTACTGAGGTGACAATATTAGACACAGTATAGCTATCAGTGACATAAAATTGGAAGTTCTTCAGCTGGGATTCTTGGAGGTGCTTGCTGCATATGGCTGTAAATGTGAATTCCTCCAAGATAATAGACCACAGCAAACTCTTGTTACATTTGCAGATGTACCTAAACTGCTGCAAGCACACTGAAGGACAGCATTAACAATCTTAACAGTTTACAAAAACAGACACACAGAGACATAAAAAAGCCCCAAATCCAAGATGCAATTCATTAAATTCAATTGCATACTTTTATACCATAACAGAAGTGAAAAACAGATTTGAGTTGGGAAGAAATGGTTAAGAGTGGCAGTTCTTTAGAAAAAGAACCTGGGGTATTACAGCAGGTTCCAAAAGCAAAATGTGTCTGTGTAATATGATCTGTGGAAAGGTAAAGGTGTAAGGCCAGGAACACCATTTTTAACACACCTGAACAGCCTCTAACCCCTGCTGCAGGCTGGGCCCAGCTGCAGTGCTAAGTCCACCTAGTACTCTACTACAAGAAGGAAAAGGGTCAATTGGGAAGGATGCAAAACAGAGCAACAGGATGGTGAGCACACTAAAAAGCACTGCACAAAAAGGAAGTTGAAGGAACTGGACCTTTCTAGTCTAGAAAAGAAAAGACTGAGGGAGTCAAAATAGCTAAAAAAATAGAAGGGTAGCTTCTGTGAAACAAGAGAATCCACAGAAAATATCTGTGGAGATGCAGAGCACAGCTGCCACCCTGCAGGGCAAATAGTAATGGCTAAAAATGGTTTAAGGGCTGGTGTATCGCTCTCTGAATATTTTAAGAACATCTACAGCAAATATTTAGCAAGGCTGAATGAGGAAAGAACAGTTCCTATGATGGGCCAAATGCATGGACCCCATCTCAGAGTCTCTTCTACCGTCTCTTGTCACACCTTGTGGCACACCTTGTGTAAATTTTCTGTGTAAGCTCCAGCCTTGGGCTATACATACACAATTGCTCCCCCCAGTCACATATTATTCTTCACCTCAGGCTAAGAAAGAATGGCTGCAGTGATACTGTAATTCTCACTGTTGTGTTTAGGTAGATTCTCATGGGCACAAAGAAAACCTATCTGCTGAGTTTTGTGTCTTTGTGTATCATCTCCAAAATAAACATACCTGTTTGCAGATGACTTCAGTTCTACTTGATCCCAGTGAGTTATCTGGTCGTCTCACAATATTGGTATTACTTTCATCTCTGCCACAAGTGCCATAAGCCTCAGAAAAAGATGGCCATCCAGTCCCAGAATTGTACTTCTTCTCTGAGCTATAGTGGAAACCAGACCTTGTTAGTTAATAACAGAGATGTTACAAAAGAGTCTGCTTCTATTAAGAACTCTGGCTTATTCCCTCATTCCTGTGTTGTTCCAATATTAATATTTAGAACAGTAGAAGTTTCCTCACTGGCATCGAACTGTGCTGGAAACTCTTTTCCAAAGGGAATTCTCAATCAGCTCACAACAGGAGATTTTGCCTCATTGTTTCTATTTCAGTGTTAGGCCTGTTATTTTATAAAGCTTAGAAAAGTTGTTTTTTTTTTTTTTCCCTGACAACTATGCTATACTAATATTATGCTATAGTATTTAGCTGAATTATACCTACAGAGTTGCAGTTTGAAGCCTGGCTCAATCCAGCAATCTCAGAGAAGAGAGTTTTCAAGAAGGAACAAAGAATAGACAAAAGCTGGGCTGGCCCACCAGACCAGGCTCGTGCCTGATGATGATAGAGGCTTTGTCTTGCAGTCAGCCATCAAGCTGGTTTGGAAAATCAAACAGAGCCTTGCTCAAACCATCAATCAACCAATGACAAATCCTCACAGCACAAAGATCTATTTTTCCCAAGAGATAATCACAGCCATAAAAAACAGTACAACTGACTACCAGCTTGTGGGTGCCTCCTGTTAACATCCAGGGTGATCAACACTGTTTAGCTGCATATTAAAACTTAGAGTGTGTTGGCAAATATGATCAAAATATATTTTAGGGATTTGGTACAGAAATGAGAAAATTCCTTTTTTTTTAAATTGTGCAAGCTTTGACAGCAATATGAACCTTCTCTTATCAAAGAGGGACCTTGTGTGAGTTAGAACAAGAAGTGAAGATAGGTTCACATACTTCTCAGATAAGTGGTCTGGAGACTCACCACAACCATTTCCTCACTCTTTCTCATGGTTTTTCCCCAGTTTCGCAAACCCAATGCTCTTACTGGCATCTAGTGGTCGATGGAGACATGAGCACCACTAGCAGCTCTTGATAAATGGGATCGAAACGTTAGTTACAACAGAATTTAAAACTAAGTATGTCATATATATCACGTATATTTTAGTGTGTTGTTCACACGGTGAAGATAAATCCGAAAATCTTAATTGCAGTGCCTTTTAGAAAGATAAAGCAACCAAACTGGACAAAAACCTTAAAAAATCCAACCCAAAGAGTAGCGCATGAATCAGCATTTTCATATTCATCTGTACAGGGCTGTCATTGAGTAATGCAGCTGTGGAAATAAAGAGCATTTGCTAGCACAGAATGACCAAAGGCTAGTTTTTGCATGGGCTGTTGCTTAGTTATTTACATCAACACACAGATAGCCACGAGAAATATTTTCCTTCCCCTCCTCTCCATAAAACTGGAGAAAAATCAGACACAGGAGCAGCCTGGTCTGAAGCAAATGCAGTTTGCAGACTCTGTTTGTACATCAAGGTCCTTAGGGCTCCAGGCCTGTTTCTTTCCAGATAAAGAAGGTTCCCTGCTTTACCTGCCACAAAACCACACAAACACTGTCTCTACAGCCACAGAGTCCCCAAGAATGACCTGGGGGACACGTATTCATATATGACTTCCGAGCTTCCCTGACATACATCTGTTCTGTTTATTTTTCACCAAAACTCTTTAATTTTTGACACAGGAATGTTTATTCACACATAGATACAAAGATCCTCTTTGAAAACCCACAGAGTCAAGGAAGGTCTTTAACACTGCATGGGTTTTGCATCTGACCTTGACTGACTCTGTCCCTTACATGCCACTCACAATACTTAAGTTTATTGTACATGTTTTCCACTGCTAAAGGAACAATCATTTGAGCTGTTCAACTAGCTCTCAACAGAAATGGTCTCTATGTGGTTTTATTAACAGTAATGTCACTTAGATTCCCTAATAGAAACATTTTAGTACCCAAAAATATTGCTGTTCGAGATCATATTTGTCCTTTGAAGTATTTCACCACTTAATTTATGGATAAATGGACTTTCCCTAAACATATGCATTAGATTAGACCTCGACACACCATTCCTCCAGCACATGTCATTTACTTTGATCCCTGTTTCAGTTGTCCTGGATGGAATCCAGATAATTCTAAAAAGTGCTTTTTTGCTGTATGAATCTCAGCTGTAAATTTATGGTTTGATGAAGGTTTGAGATTTCATTAAAGCACCACAATTTGCTATCTATAAAGGTTAGGGGTTTGTTCCATGTATTTCCAACTCTTTCAAATGTGTATTTGGTAGCATAAGGTACTAAATTCTGATTTAAATGTATACACACTTGTTCCAAAGAAAGGAAGAAATACTTCATATTTACCTGTAGCTAACGATCTAATGCATTTGAAAAAAAAAAAAAAACAACCAAATCCAGAAACAACAACAAAAAAAAACACCAAAAAAACCAAGAACATTTTTAATGGACTAGGAAATAAATATAATGAATGAATCTTTTATCCAATTCCATTTTCCCCCCTTATTGCTTGTGTTCTCCACAGCATAATATCTCCATGGAAAATATATTTTCAGACGATTTTTCACATTTAATTGTTTCCTTTTTTCTTATGAGCCTTTTTTTCTTTCTGAAAGTTTGGCCTTTTTTTTGTCTGTGAAGCTTAGCATTATTTTCTGCTGCAAAGAAAAGTGCTTATATTCTCTGAGAGCCGGATAGTGCAAAGGGCAGCCTGACCGTTTGGTTATATTGCTGTTTTGTTATTAGTTTAACAACAGAAGCAATTCCCTCCAGTGTTTGTCTCTCTTCATGTTGGCCTGTCAATATCAATTGTCTAATATAAAAGACACTGAAATTGAAGGAAAATCTGAAGGAATGGAAGGAAAGCTTAGTACTTTACAATTTCTCTAATTCATCTGAATTTTCCAAATGTGTTTTTAGGTTTTATATTTCTCTTCAGAATATTTTGTAATGCTGAGATAACATCAGAAATTAATTTATTTAGACATATTCATTAGCAAACCTCAGTGGAAAATTATTCATTTAAAGAAATGCATGTTTGCATAAAAATAGTATTCTGCACTTGGCCAAAGAAAAGCTAATTGTACTCAATTATAATTTATTTGCTTAGTTTAGTTTATTTTCAATACACCCATTACATTTTCCCCTCCTTTCTTACTATCCAGATCTCTTGATCCCTAGCATCCCATTTGAAGTTCTGATCTGTGATTTATCCATTAAATCAGCCATATTTCATTCAGTTCTCAGTTGGGAATAAATAAGGGCTATTTTCTAGACCAAAAATATGAGAAACTGTCTTTTCTGGTTCAGTTACAGAGAACAGAACACCCTCTGCACATCCCACTCCAAGGCACTCCATTTCCTTTTACTTAGATGTTAATGAAGTTGCAAAATATATAGTATTGTAAAGAGCACAGAGGTTAACTGAGCAATCATTTGCAGCCAGGCTTTAAAAAGTAGATGCAACCAAAAAGGCAAGAATAGAGGAATTTAATTTAGGGAACAAGGAGGGAGTGGGGGTGAAGAGAAGGTCTCAGCTGCAGTGTGAGGGACCCAGCAATGAGAACATAACAGTAGACAAAGGCAGACCAAGGTCTCTCCAGCCCAGCAGCACGAGTGGCAGAAGATGAGTATGGAGGAGCACAAGCACAGAGCAAACACACTGTGATACTCATGCATAAATACATGTATTTTGCAGCAGCTTGTGGCTTAAGGACCTCTTAAACAGAGAATTATTATCAACTAAAAAGTGTGTCAGGAGAAAGAGGCAGACTAGAGCATGACAGCTGTGTGCTGGCCACGGGCAATCCCCCTCAGCTCAAGGAAAAGGCATACCATGGATCTGTGTCACCACAGGCATCCTGAAAGATTTACACACAGCACTTGGGCATCAAGGGATTGTTCTTCTGACCAACACTTTCTATGCCATTCATGAAAAGGCATTGCCCTTCCTGCCACAAACAGTACATTGTAAAGATGCTGTGAAATCCAGAGGCTGTTACCTGAAGAGGGGAGCATTGCAGCACACACAGCAGTAGATTCCTGATTCTGTGTTATTCAGATGGATCCCACTGAATGGCTTTTAAAATAGGAAGGAAAAAAGAGAAGTTAATAATGTAGGTCTTTAAAAGCTCACCATCTGGAAGAAGCATGTAGGAATCAGATTCAAAACAGGAGAAAAACCATAAAAAGGCAGCTTCGCAGGGGGCCTTTGAAGAACAAACATTAGCAGCCCAAAGAAAGGAAGGGAAGGATGCCTTTGGGTTAGTAGTGAAGACTACCCCCTACCCCCACAAACTTTGAGACCAGTCAGATGCATAAATCATCCAGGTACCAAGGATGGAGTCATGACCTCCAAGAAACTGGTGAAATGTGCAGGATCCCAAAGGCCAGGGCTCTGCTATGGATTGCCACAACTTTAAAGTGGCTTTACAAAGGGACTGTCCTCCTTCCTTCATGGTCTGGTACTGGGATCCTTGTTTTACAGCTATGGATCTGGGCACAGATCACACGGTACATGCTCCACGTGTGCAGAAGTCCTGTCTCTGGGCTAGGGACAACCAGCACTCCACCCACAATGGTACATGGCTTCCTGCACAGAAGGAGGAAACGTGGGGACAAGTGGGTGGGTGATCTGGCACCTGAGGGAGAACCCATCTCCTGAAGGGAGCACTATATTTAAGATTTCCATGGCTAATCTACATATGGTCACAAAAAGGAGACTACAAGATAAAAATATCTGAGAATCTCCCTGTCCTCTAGACGGGCCTCTACTCCCACCACACAAACAGTTGAACTGGCAGGAAAGTATCCCAGAAAAGAAAACCCAATAAAATATGAAAAGAATGCAGAATGTTTTTCATCTGCAAAACAGTCTGGGTCAGAACAAAATCCACCCTGTTCCGTATGTTGAGTCTAACTTTCATCCACAGGAAGGCAGGGGAAATCCTGTGAAGAAACTGAGTGGTGACAGCTTCCCAGGGCAGGTTTTTCTGTGCCCAGCAGGCAGAGGAGCTGGCTCACCCTCGGACAGCATTAGCACTTCTGCTCACCGGTTCAGTTCCTTTTTCTCGCGTTACGTAGAATTGTTCCGGAGTCAATTTTTTTTTCCAGTCTGTAGCAGCAGCTGCTTCAGCTTGTTTAGTGAGGGGGTCCATGTCTTCAATTAGATATAGAAAGATAATTTAGTAAGAGAGCTTAGATTCCATTGATGCATTCCATCATCATCTCAGTTCTCCAAAAGTTTCTATGGGTACAGACAAAGTACAGAGGGCAGTTCAGGGGCATGAACAGGGGCACGTGCAGGACTTTGCGTCTGCTTTCCATTTGGTGTGCCACATCCAGAGAGCAGCTCCAGCAAACCACTTGGGAAGGCTTCTAAAGGAAATGGCCACCTACGACCCCAGGTACCACCCACTCTCCCAGCACAGCTCTCTGCCCTGGCTCAGGATAACTGCTGGACTGCCAGTGCTCCTCCTTCATCCACGGATATCACTAAAAGTCTTGGCAAACCTCTTGGAAACCCTCAGAAACCAGAATTAATGTTCATCTGTGAGCTGTGGAACACTGGCAACTTCCACAGGCCCCAGTGAAAAGTGGTGCTAAGAAGGAAGACTGCAAGAAAGCAACACCTACAGCACAAGAGAAATGGGGCCACAGTTAAATGAGGGACACACAACAGCAGAGCAGAAGTCGCCCATCATGGTGCAAACCTCCAGCAATATATCCTGTGAGTCTGTACACAAGAAGAACACTTATGGTGGTATAGCATTGGCAAAGAATTCATGGACTGGCTGAAAAACAGCAAGTAAAATAGTTTAATACCTTCCTAATCAGTAAGTCTGAGGTGGGGAACTACCTCCCAGCCTATCTCCCATCAGCACAGAATCCTTGAAAAACAACCAGCTCTTGAGGAATGAACGCTTGTCTGAATTAATCTCTTGCAAGGTAGAGGTGAGAACGGGGTGGGGAGGCGGGGAGGGGAGGGCAGGGGGAAATGAATTTGAAAACTATAGTTTAACCAAAAAAAACCCTAGAGCTTAGCTTGCCAGTTCAAGACAACAACCCACAGCACGCTAACGCAGCGGACGGCAGCAGGGGACGCTTTCCGCCGCCCCGGTGCCGGGGGTACCTGTGCCGCTGCGCGCAGCCGGCGCCCGGCGGCCGCGAGCGGAGCAGGAGCAGCGGGCGGCGGCTCCCGAGCATCCTCCCGAGCATCCTCCCGAGCATCCTCCCGAGCATCCTCCCGAGCATCCTCCCGAGCGTCCTCCCGAGCGTCCTCCCGAGCGTCCTCCCGAGCGGGCGAGCCGCCATCGCGGCGGGGCGGAACCGGGGAAGGCGCCGATGTAATCCCCGCGTTCCACCTAAAGAATCAGACCTCATCATAGCAATGAGTAAAACACCCGCTGAAATGCCGGTGCAGCATTTGCACGTAAAGGTTTCAAATCACTTCTTACCGAGACGGGCTTAAAAATGAATACTCGCTGCAGCCGTAAACATAACAAAATCCTGTGGAGATATTCTAGGTTGTTTTTAAGGAGAACGGGTCTGGTACTTGCATGCAAAAGCGCTCTTGCTGTCCTGGATGCATGTCCTGGATGCATGTCCTGGACCGAGGAATGGCAAAGGCGCTGTGCCCTCTGAGGGATTCCTGCTTTCCTGGGGTGATTTGCAGTCACAGCTGCCTTGGCTTGGCCTATAAATATACCTGTAATAGGACACGTGTGTTAGTTTGGCAGCCTGTCCTTAAAACGTAGACCTAAGCACAAGTTAATTTTCTATGTTAAGCCTTAATGCTACTGTCTGCTTTTCTTCCAATAGTTACATTCCTGATTTGGAACTAGATCATAATTTTGTTTGGAAGGAAGCGTTTCGATTGCATTGGATAACAAAGCTAATAATGATGTTTAATACAAATTTACTTTCTTTTAGCCTAATTCTTCTAGCCTAATTCAAAAAGCTAAAAAATAATCCTGTGTGATCAGTCCTGTATATACACATTTGTATTGAGCCATCCTTATGCCTAAAACAGTGAGTTCCATGGCAGCTGAGGACATCCAGCACAGCATCTGATCAGCACCACAGCTGTAATCACTGCCTCTGCTCGGATGCACAGAGTACTGCAACAAAGGATGGATATCAGCAAGGTTCCTCCGTGGTGCATTCACTGTCTGCAGTGGCAGGGGGGAGTGGGGCACACAGCTGATTTATGGCTTTCTCCTGTGTAATAACACACGGTGGAATGAACCCAGAGTATCTGGATAGAAACCCTGGAGATGTGATGCCTGTGAATCCTCAGGACTGTGATTCAGGATGTTAGGAGAGTAGTGCTGCTGGCAGGAAGGAGAGGGCCTTGCCACCCCACTTTGGTGCTGGCAGAAGGCAGCATCCATGCTATAGGCAGATGGACAACATTTTTCCATGTTCAGCCATTTTGGCAACTCATGATCCTGTGATCTTTCCAAACATTTTCTAGCTTATCCCTCTGGCATCTTATATCAATCATTTAGCCATGGTTTAGGAGGGAGTCGGAACAGGTTAGGAAGCCTTTGGTGAGAAGAGACCCAATCTGACATTTCCCCAGTTCTGGCAAGTGACTTAGGGCTAGAAAGTGGTAGCAGGTCTGATGCTGTACCATTTTCCTTAGATTCTGGAGGAGGGAGGTAGGGGTCTGGGGGGCAGTGGAGCAGAGGGAGCACAAGGCATCAGGCTCATCAGCCCAAGCCTCATCATCCTCTCAGTTACCCAGTTCACTACAAGCCACTCCTTGATTAAAATGAGGGGGGTGGTGGAAGAGGCAGATCCCCTTCCTCCCAACAGCTGTGATCCACATTTAAGGTGGTGCATGGCAGAGCAGGAGAAAATCCTCCATTTTCCCCTGAAACAGAAGTCTGACCTGCAGTCATCCAAACCAGCATGACAGGTCTTCCTCAAGTGGAAAACAACCCCCCAGCTGGAGGTAATTCATTTTTCAGATCTTCAGTGCTGAAAAACCAAATCATTGTCCTGTCATGCCTGTAATGTTGCCTCCCATGGTTACAGCACACACCAAGCCGTGTAGCTAGGCAGACATCCGGCCTGCCTTTCTCCCCATAGACTGTTGTGGAAGCCAATTAAACTGTTACTTAATTTTCCACCTATTTTTTTTATCTCCCTTATGCACAAGGGGAAGCATTTAAAAATCTCCCCTAGCTACATTATGTAAATTTTCAAGTAAATTCTCCCTGAGTTGTAATTCAGCAGATTTATTGCTAAAAATGGCACCTGTCTCCAGCATGTGCACAAGCTGCATCCAAGGAAGGGTCACTCATCCAAAGCACAATGTCCCATCAGACACGTGTAGATGGGGAAAAGCTCCTCAGCTCCTCCTGTAGTGTGGCTCTGTGCCGAGGCAGCAGCAGCATCCCATGTGTAGGTGAGAGCAGAAGGGAAGAGGGAAGCAGCCTCATCCCAGACTATCCTGCTAATATTTATTGGGGCTCCAGCCATTTCCCAGCTCAGGCTCTGCCTTGACTGACTGGGGACAAGCAGAGCAGCACGTAATGCCTGCACTGGCAGATACTGAGCACTCAGCCAGGCAGCAACAAAGTGCAGAAGTGAAAAAAAGCCCTGTTCAAATTCAAACCTCTGCTTACACAGCTTTTGTTAATAAAGCCCCTTGACATTACCACGTATGGAAGAAAACACTGAAATTGTGGTGGTTTTATTTTGTATGCATTTGTGTGCAATCGGTTTTCCTCTGCTCTCTTTGTCAGATCTAATGTATGCCCCCTCCTGTGGGGTGCTTCCTCTGAAACACGTGGGAGCTCACCATGCAACATTTTGTCCTGGACCTGTCATATGCAGGGGTGCTGTGTGCCCAGGTGCCCAGGGAGTGAAGGACAGGGGTCTGGCATAAGCCCTTCCATGGTGGGCTGTATCTGTGGGGAGCTGTTTTCTCCATGGAAACCCTCAATGCTTTTGTAAGAGATACTGCAGGAACTCCACATCCTTCCTTGGCAGAGTCTTCTCTCTCCTCTAATGGACTTGACACAGCCAGCCTCTAGCCACTCAGGTGTGATGAAACTATGGAGCTCTTGGTATATGGAGATACTGTTTCCACATGGAAACACTATCTAAAGGTATGTGGTAGTGCTCTGGTGCTGAATTCCAGTGATGGAAAGGGATTTGGGCAAAATTTATAGGAAGAAGTGTCAAAGTACCTTGGAAAAGGGTACTGCTGGTTTCCAGAGACACACAGAGACTGAATGCAGATCTGAACCTCCCTGAAGATGATCTATGGATTCTGATTCATTTATGGAGCAGCCTGATGTGACTCAGGTCAAAGACATCATCAGAAATAATGAACACACAACTTCTCACTTTGCTTTATGGTTTAATATCTCTTTTTGCTAATCATAAGCTATAGGATATCTAATTATTCTAACTTTTGTTTTTGGAAAGTAATAGGTCATATTTGTGGGCTAGCTTGAGAGCCTTCTCTTGGAGTCTAAGGGTGAAATTTGAACAGGACAGAATAGAATAGAATAGAATAGTTCCAGTTGGAAGAGACCTTTGGATTTGGTCCACTGTGACAAATGCTTTGAGTTAGATTACACCAAATGCCCTCAATAGATCCTATGCAGTATGAATTATACTAGGATTCTAAATGTTTTGAGAAATTTCTTGCATAACAAGTGAAGGCATGAATTCAAAGTTAAATGGGATTTTGCAATCACTCCTCGACAGAAAACTCAACTCTGCAATTGAGCCATTGGTTCAGCTATAAGTAGACATGCAGGCTGGTATGGAGTATGTGTATCTTCAGGGACAGCTATTGGGAAGAAACAGATCCAGGCTATTTCCCTGCATTACCCTATGCATCCCCCATATCATTACCATCCAGTTCCTTGAGCTATGTAGACACTAATAATATATTACACAAAATTGTGCATCCCTTTTATCCCAAGGTACTGAAGAACTGAGATGGTTCTTCACACAATACCCAAAGCCTGAACAGAAAATTGAATGAACACTTATTTGGCAGCAACTGCCATAGCAGCAACTTTCTGTAGGTTATCCTAATGGATTTATCACCCTGAACTAAGCCCTGACCATCTGTTCTATTCTCTCATTACAAACACAGAAAAAGCTAATTTGTGATTGCATCATAAAAAAGTAAAATATAAATGATTTAAGAGTAGGGCATGCTTCACACTCTGATTAGGAAAATTACTCTCTTCCACAGAGTGATTTCCCTGATAACAGAGTTTGCCTTTTTCCCAGCAAATGGGAATTACTGAGGAATGAGGATTGCTAGAACAAGTTTTATTCCCACTCATTCATCTTAGACGTATTTTAAATTTGGGATTAATGTAAGTGAAGCTATGAATCTTCTTTCCTTCTCTCTTAGGTGAGCCTCCAAAGATTTATTTTTGTTGGAAAAACTAGCATTCTGTTCTCAAGGCATGAGCTGCTGTTCCATTTGATGAAAATGAAGTGCCTGGTAGCAATCTGGCCCAGCACACCCTGCTCCCACTGGAACAGGATTTGGGGTTTCTTTTCCAGGACCTGTCTGAGCAACTCTGAGCTGAGCAAAAACTTCTGCAGCTTCATGTGATATAAAATCTGGCCAGATCTGTGGGGAAAACCTACTTATGTGGGAACCTTAGGTGAGGAGCTTTTTAAAAGGCAGAGTGTACTGAGTCAGTGCTGCTGTGGTAGATGGTTTTGTCCATATCTGCTATGTAAGAAGAGGGTAGAAAGGACCAGAGCAGGCTCTAGGTTTCATATGGTTTCATCTTGTCTCTACACCATACTGTCATTTGTCTACCAAGAAAAATGCTGATAGGTCAGGTATTGCAAGCCCATTTATTAGTGAATTGCTCTAATTTCTGAGTGCCAAGCAAAGATACCTCCCCACCATACCTAACGTCCAGCAGTGTTTCAGTATCAAAACTGAGCATGGACCTGACTGAAACCTGTGCTACTCTCTACTACTGAATTTCTGTGGTCAGCAAATACACAGCAAGTGACAACAACACACTGAATCAGTGGCAGCCCCTGGATGAGGCACTGGAACAGGTTCCCCTGAGAAGCTGTGGACGTCCCATGCCTACAAGTGCTCAAAGTCAGGTTGGATGGTGCTTGGGACAACTTGGTCTAGTGGAAGGTGTCCCTGCCCACTGTGGGGGTTGGAATGAGATGATTTTTAAGAGCCCTCTCATCTCAAACCATTCTAGGATTCTGTGACTCCCATACCTCCTCTATCTCATGGTAACAAATGCTACAGACTAATCCCTGTGTAAATAACTCCATATTTCTGACCAGAGGTTTTGCTCTGAAGAAGGCACCCTGAGCATTGGACCAGTGTGATCCTTGGCACATGGAACTCTGCATCCTGAGCTCAGCCTAAATTTCACATTATTTGTGTTTTAAACCTGTACCACATGCCACACAGCTCTTGGCTTGTGGAAACTCCAGTGAGCTTCCTTAGACCCAACGTTAAATTTGGCCCAGTGCTGCAAAGTCCAAGTCCCCGTCAGTTCCTGATACTCTCTTGTCATTGGGAGTTCCTGTAGAAATTTAGTACCTGAATAGCCCAAGATTTGGGCTTAAAGCCCCTGACTTTTTTGCACATATTTATACCTAGTAACCAGTCTTTAGTCACCTAGTTCTCT